GGTAAACACTTATTTATGGACTTCCTCTTAAGTGTTTGCAAGATCGGGGCCTAAATAAGCAGCATGAGGTCCAGAGATGCTGAGCACCCATAACTGAGCGGTCCAGGCTGAGTCCCTCTGAAAGTCAGAAAACCTATTGAGGTGCCTACATATGAATGTAGGTGCTTAACTTTGGACATCCACGATAGAAAATGTTGGCCACACTTTTTAGAATACTTGATATCTCTTTGGTTTAAATTAATTTGGGACTCAAATCCCTCCAAAGAAAAGGAGACCTGTTTACAAAGCAGTCTAACTTTTGCTGTCACTTTAGTGTTGGCTGTTTGCCCCAGCTCTTAAGCCATCTGCAACCAGCAGATCCTTGTCTTTGCTCTCAGATCTGAGTCACACCCACTCTCACTGCGCTGGTTTGCTGGTGGCTGGGAGTTGGATCTTTAACAATCAAAGGAAGGGGGAGGATCTCTAGCGCTGGGACCTGCCTCTCTCCCTGTCCCCACCCCTTCCAGGCAAGGCAAACGCATGTCTTCCTAACGCAAGAAAACGGCGGGCGGGCTGACACAGGAGGAAAGAGGAGGCAGAGAGAGGCGAGCCCACTCCAGCTAGTGCTCAGGCACTTTCAGCAGGGGAAGGGAACCCTTTTCCCCGGGCGTCTGCAGACTAAGGGAATGTATTTAGTTCACACAAACATGGCTGCTGCCTTCAGAGCTGCAAACCGAGTGTTGTGTCCATGTAAGTTTCCAACCGCATTTTAAGGGTGGCCGGGATGCCCTGGGCTGAATGAAGCGTGCTGTGGCAATTGCAGCCTGCGGAAATTGCGGGCCGGGGGCTCGCCTGCCGCTCGCTGCACTTGCTGGCTCCCCGGGAGGGGTCGGACTTGGGAGAGCCGGGATGTTTTCTTGCACGTCCCTGGCCCCCCCAAACCCTCCGTTCCTGGGGGGCGGGGAAGTGACCCCCGCCGCTGCATTGCTAAGGGAGCAGCAATTCCGAGAGGGGTTTGTGCAGCCGGGAGGCAGATTAACGCCTGGCTGCGTTACATAAACAAAGGGCTTTCGCACGGAGCGCGGCCGGGCAGTGCGGAGCATGGGCCCGCTCCCCTGGGTGGGAAACCCCCGGGGGGGGACAGGGATGGAGGAGCATTTCTGAAGCAAACTCTTCCCCCTTTAGCCCCGGGCGGCGGATGGTCTGAGCGCAGAGAGGACAAGAAAGATTTAATTTCTCCCACATGCTGCCCACGTTAGCCCTGTAGCCCGGGCGGTGTTGGCGGTAGCGGCCCCTCTCCAGGGCACTTGGAACACTTTTCCTTGGGCTGAGCGCAAGCAGAGGGCACGAGAAGATCCCCCCGGGGGGAGGGGGCTCTGCAGCCGGGACTGTGTTACGCAACGCGCCCTTTCAATGAAAAGCGTTTGCATAACGTTGCGTGATTAGCAGCAGGAGCCCTGGGGTGACTGGTGCGTCCTGCTGCAGCGAGGTAGTTAGTGGCTGGCAGCGGGAGTCCCTGTAGATGACGCTGGGTGCTGCTGGCAGCTGGAGCCCAGGGTCACTGCGCCCTGGTGGGGCAGGGCCGGTTTCTTTGGAGGCAGCACCAGGGCATTGTGCCCTGGCTCAGCAAGTGCCTCCCACTGAGGGCTTCACGCGTGCAGTATGTGGCCTGGCCAGTGCTGCGGCACCCAGAGCCAGGGCCCCACTTCAGTGCAAAGTTTTCAAGCTTCTGCTCTCCTTTGTGTCTCCCATTTTTCGTGGTGTTTGTCTGTAGATTGTAGGCATCTTCTGTCTCTTTACATCGTGCCAAGCACGTTGTGGGCGCGTACTCCGTTCTGAGCCAGCATGCTGCCCTTGCACCAGAACCTGTCTCTGGTGCCCAGGGTCAGCAGTGCTCTCTACAAGCGGTTGCAGGCGGGTAACCAGGGTCGTGTGCTCTGTCTTGGTGCAGTAAGTGTCTCTGGAAGCCAGGGAGGGAGTCAAATTCTGCCATCAGTTACAACCATCAACCTCAATCAGTGGGCTTGTACCGTTAAGTTGAGTCTGGCCCTACATCTGTACTGACTGTTTGCAGGGAAATCTGAACTTCTGCACGCAGACCCAATTACAGCTTTGTCGACACCAATGTAAAAGCAAACCCACTTCCGGTGACCATAGGAGACTGGGAATCACGTCCATTATAACTGGGCTTTGCAGACACGGGTTATTTATCAGAGAGCACTTAAATGAGTATCTTGCCTTTATGGTGTTGTAGCCATGTTGGGCCCAGGATATCAGAGAAGTAATATCTTTTATTGGACCAACTTCTGTTGGTGACCTGAAGAGCTCTGTGTGGCTTGAAAGCTTGTCTCTCTCACCGGCAGAAGTTGGTTCAATAAAATATATTACTTTACCTACCTTGACTCTCTAATATCTTGTCTTTATTCATTCTGTCACAAAGCAGAGCCCTTTGGAGCACGGACAATCCTTTCTGTTCCTATTGCAAGCCGTGATGGTTGGGAGAGTTTATGTTTAGCTGCCTTAAAACTTGGGTATGGGTGTCTCTGATTTTTGCATCAAAAATAGATTTTTGGTTTTAAAAAGCCAGAAACTCAAACAGTTGAAGAACTACAAAAATTATTTTATAAAATAGATCAGTTCTCAAAGTGCATGGACAGTGTATTATTTTGGAAAGGATACAAAAATTCACATAGACCCAATGTGAATGATGAGCCCTTTCTAACTCCCCCCAAAACAGACCCTCCCCACTTAACTTTCCCAGCCACTCACCATACCCCCAGAAAATTCCTGGGTCAGGAGATTCGCATTGCTGTCCTCTAAAACTATGCAGTATAGTCCTTAATCGGCTGCCTTCAGCGATAGAACCACCAGGATTTGCTGCTATACAATAGCAATTATTATTATTTAGTTAGTTATTTTCACTTATAAAATGTAGCCACTTTGGACATCTACAGAATTTAATTTAAAAGATCATTTGTTATATTTAGTATATTAAAATCAATTTAAAAGGAAACATGCTCCCCCCAACAGACTACAGCCTGTGAAAAGAGAGGAGACTTGTGCCATGCCCTTACGATCAACAAACTTGGCTCTGTCAGGCCAGTGGGGAAGGGATTGCCCTTGAAAACATTCTATTAACAACCACCTGCCATATAAATTTGGGGACGAATGACATTCCCCAGCTTTCCTGGTAGTCTTTGGTTGTGGGAAAGGAAAGAAGTGGTCTCTCGGGTTGTCAGGAAACATGCCATGTAGGCTGAGATATGTGAAAGTCACTTCTATGGAGTTGGTCCCCCAAACATTTTAGAATTTAACTCGTACAAATAAGATGAGAGACAGAATGCAGCAGGTCAGTTGTGGAGATGAATACAAAAGGGTTGAGCTGGGCATGTAAAACTTCATAGATATTAAATCCAGAAGGATCCATTAGATAATTTAGTTGGACCTCCTGTATAATGCAGGCTGTAGACTTTCATCCAGTTACTCCTATAATGAGCCCAATAGCTTGGGTTTGACTAAGTTCAGTTGGGTCATCGCTTTTTAGTATTTAACCCTAAATCTGCCTCTTTTTGTTTGTTTGTTACAAAGCCGGAATTTGAATCCCCTTCCCCCTCTCAGCTTTGATTGAAAAGGGTTTAATATAGAAAATGTTAGTAATTAATGAGCACTAGGCCTGTTGATTGTGAAACAGAACACGTCCCTTACTACACATACTTTGTGTGTATCTTTTTTCCAGTGTCCGTGTAAGTGAATGGAGATTATGGTAGGAAATTGATTCAAGTGGTACTATTAAAGAAAAAAGTTTAAATAAAAATCCCTGAATTAAAGTAACTGAGACATACAACCAAAAAAGCAAGATCGTTCTTTTCTGAGAAAAAAAACTATTGTAAACTCAGCCTGTTTGCTGAACACCACCTCTGGTAACAGTGAGTAACTGATCTAGTGATCCAACTTGCTGCAAATGCCTAGGGCCCTAGGCAAAACATGGGACTGCTGAAATGCCTTTTTCCTCAAGAGTCCTTGGCTTTTGTGGTCTGTCTTTAACCTTAACATGGTTATTTGCATATTGTCAGAAATGTTTTATTAAGATTGTATGGTCTCTGTCTTTTTGCCCCTTATTTATCACCAGGGCTCTGTGAAAAATAGCATACAGAACAGTGACTAACATTTTAAGTAAATGCTAACAATGGTTTAAATATAATTAGCAGAGCACTTTTTATTTTTGTTTTAAAAGTACATCTATAGATTTTTTTTTTCTTAAATGTTACTGAGTCAGTGTAACGATGTATGCTCAGACAGTCTAACAGTTTTTTAAAAGGAAGAATGCAATATAATTGATGAGGAATATGATTTAAGATAACTTGAGCGTGCAGATGTATGGTTTTATTTTATTGGGTGCACATGAATGAGGACGTGGTAGTATGTATATGTAGATCTAAGAGCTACTTAGAATACTGGGAATAAGAAATACAGCAAACAAAATTCTTTAGAGATAAAAATATCTAGCTGGATTATTTGGTCATGTGAGAGGTGATTGACATACACAACTATTGTTGTATTCTGTTCGACTTACAAAGTTTTTATCTAATTGAAGAGGAATGTGAGACCTTAGCATTCATTTTTAACTACAAAAAAGGAATTTGTAGATATCTAACTTGGCATTTCAAAATGTGGGTTTCCCCCCCCCCCCCTGGAACCTGGTTCAATAACCCTGTAATATACTTTTTTTTCTTCTCTTAAAAACATTTTGTTGTAAATTATTACTCATTGAAAAATTAACAAGATTGTGCTTTAGAAAAAAACTTTAGATGCTGAAAAGTTGTGAATAGTTTTTACAGTTCCAAGTCAGTTTTCCAGGTATTTTAATGGTGCTTCTCTGTAAAGCAAACGTACTGTAGACTGTGGCTTAGAAAGTGAAATCTTTTTATATAGTCTTGTAAGTGGGGGACCCTTTTCTAGTCTCCATTGCAGTGTAAGCAATGGTAAACATGGAATGTGTGATACAGTTGTGATAATTTAATATGGCAACATGTTAAGGAGGCATTTCTGCATTTGTGTACGCTGTGAAAGTAATTGTGTGTGCATATTTAAGGGCAGAAGTGGCCTCCTAAAATTTTATTGTGCCCTAGCTCTGAGGGATAAAATGTTTATGGTATTTTGAAAATTAAATAAGAAAACCTGTGTTAACATAACATTAAGCTTGAACGATTTAAATCACAAAAGATATGTGAAATAGAGTTCCAATAGCAGTGTTGCACATCCTGTATATTCTATGGGAAATCCCTTATGAAACAGAGAAATAAATGTAAAAACCACACATTTAACCAGTGAAACAATGAGACATACATATTTACAATGCAGCTGAAAGCTTCACTTTTGCATTGTATAGTATAATGTCGACTGTACTATACAAACTTTATAAATCTAGTAAATTAAGATTTTCAGAGGAGAAAAAACAATCCTTCAGGCACCGAAAGTGCTTAAATCACCTCAGTCCCTTAGATCACAACCTTTTAACCCACTATTAATATTTAGACGTGCCTAAGTGCTTAAACCACTAATAACCCCCATTAACAAGTGTAGTCTTCTTATCCATCTCTGCCTTTGGGCAAAGTCTGGCTGAGGCTAGAGCCATGGAGTGATGGGAAGAATCGAGTGAAAGCAATGAGAGATGGCTGCCTAGAGTGAAGTTAAAGAACCCTGGTTGAACTGGCCCTGAACTGATCCGATGGAATTGCTGGTTCAGTCTACTGGAGCACAGGGTCAAGCTAGGAACAATCCAGGGCTCAAATACATTAAGCTACATTGCAGCAAATGTTTAAAAGCCCTGAAATTCAGGGGCTGATTTTTAAATGTTTTTTAATCCGTATAATGTTTATATATGGATGGGTGTATTTTAATGTTTTGTAAATTTAGTGCTTGTGAAAGATTCTGGCAGCAGCTTGACAGTCTTGGTGACTGAAGGGGGGAGGGATAGCTCAGTGGTTTGAGCATTGGCCTGCTAAACCCAGGGTTGTGAGTTCAATCCTTGAGGGGGCCATTTAGGGATCTGGGGTAAAAATCAGTACTTGGTCCTGCTAGTGAATGCAGGGGGCTGGACTTGATGACCTTTCAAGGTCCCTTCCAGTTCTAGGAGATAGGATATCTCCATTTAAAAAAAAAAAGTCATTTGTCCATAGAATAGTTACAATATTGCAGTTTTCACTGCACAACCATTTCATTGTACCTCCACTCTGAGCTGAAGGTACTTCACTTCCTTTCATGCTGAAGTGGTGTCTCTTACAGCATTGCCAGCCCCAAGTGTTCAAAACTCATGAGTCAGGCCCTAAAAATCATGAGATTGACTTTAAAATGATAAGATGTTTCAAAAAATAAGTGTTGGTTCTTTGCTTTCCTGGTTTTTGAGCCTTTAAGGCACACTCAGGTCATGTTTTCCAGCTTTTCTCTGCAACCACGAGGGCTAGACACTTACCCTTTTAAAAATTGTATGAAAATCCATGATTTTTCCTTAAATTGCTTGGCTCCAGGAGATGGGGCTTGAAAAGAAGTGCCAAATATCAGGAGACCACCAAGCACATTTAAAGAGATATTGGGGGAAGGCAGCATATGTCTCATAAACCGAATCCTCTGCCCAGTAATAAACTAACAATACATTTTAACCTTCTCTCCAGGCACCAAAAGCAGCAGCTGCAGTCAAGTGAGAGTCCAAATACAATGGAGAGGTCAGTCGACAGCAGCAGCCGCCACTCAAACAAAAAGCACAGAGCCTCAAACTCAGCCTGGAAAGAGGTAAGGAGTTATTCACAGGCCTCATCTGTGCTGACGTGAAGTGTGTGTGTGTGTGTGTGTCCTACAGGGAATTGCTCTCTGTCTCTCTCCAAAATGGTATTGCTTTACTTTACAGTGCTCTGGTTTTAAAGCATTACAATCGTCTCACTGTTTCCTTGTGCTTCCCTCATTTATATGTCTGTATCCATCTGTTGTCCATTGTCGGATATTTAGATATTAAGCTCTTTGGGGCTGGGATCATCTTTTTGTTCTGTGTTTTGTACAGCATCTAGCACAAGGGCGTCTTCATGACCAGGGCTTCTAGGCACTATTGGAATATAGATGATAAAAATATTTACCCTTATGCCCTGTTACATCTTGTGCAGTGTTTAGTAGGGTGGAGGGGAGAAAGGAGCAGGGAAATAAACAGCGGTTAAGATTTTTTTGAAGTAGTCTATGGGATTTAGGCCAGTATCTTTCATTTGAAAGTTAGTGTCTAAATCCCTGAGACTGTTTTGAAAATCTTAACAAGCCATCCTGAAGCTTAACTATTTGTATTTTAAGAAGATAATGTATAGTAGAGTGAGATAGCAGCTTAATAATGCAGTTATTGCATAATTTGAGACACCATTTAGTACACTCTTGTTAATAATAATTAGTGCCTTTCATTCAAGGATCTCAAAGGACTTTGCAAACAAATGCACCTGTGAGGTATTTGCAGATATGGAAACGACAGAAGGGGGAAGAGAGGCTTCTCATCTCAGACTGTATAAAAGATCCAAATCCTATGGATCTCAGACCCTGTACAAAGTCCCAATGCTTAGATTTCCCATTCTAAACGTGTTACCATAACAGGCTTGATTCTGTCCTTTGTCTGATGCAGGATCCTTGATGGACCATATTCCAGTGGTAGGTAGGACTAGCAGGGTGAAGCTCTGGCACTCCACTGTTCCAAGTGGGAGGGTAGGGTGCAGCAGAACCAGAGTGTGGAGCCAGAACACTTGCTCCAGCAGGGAGTTTCCCTCTGATAGGGGAATTCTCTGCTGGCCATTTGCTCCCAGTTTTTGGTCTGTCTGTGCCCTCTGAGGTGCACGACAGGGCCAGAGCTGAGTCAAGAACCCAGGATTTTCATAAACAGGGATTAATGCCTTGGTGTGTGGACTGGCTCTTCATTTCAGAAAGTAGTTAAGAGATGGAGAAGACATACAGGGCTAGGACATCTTATCTAGCTCACCCCCTGCTTGGACAGGATTGTTCTCTGTAGTGTAATATGTTTTCTGGTGAACCTAAAATGTGCAGCTGGCATTTAGCTGAGGTATGGAAACCGCTGTATTCATTTACTGGTGGTGTTTATTATTAAAGGATGTATACTGGAAAGTTACTTCAGCTATGGGATGCAAAATACTTGATTTAAAAAGGCCGCATGTAGGTGTGAATTTGCTGGCTCTGATGCTTATTGAGCATAAATAGATTGCACTTGCTGATTCAGCACATAGTATTTTGTCAAGTGTCTCAGGGCCAGATTCTTATAACCTTACTCTTGTTGAGTAGAAACGTATACCTTGAATAGCCCCATTGATCTCACTGGGATGGAGTAAGGGACTGCTAAATGTGAATAAGGATATCAGCATTTACCTCTTGATGATTAGTTTTTTAACATGATCCTCATTTTGCACAATAGAACGAGAGCAGGGGGTCAGGCTGATTAGCCTGCAGTTGTAAAAGGTGGCAGCTGATTACAGGGCGAAATAGAAAAAGATTTCAAACTGTATATTTTTTTCTTTTAATAGGAAAACTAAAACAGGAATCTTGATGTTAAACATGGGTGGCCCAGAAACACTGGGAGATGTCCACGATTTCCTACTTAGGCTTTTCCTAGATAAGGACCTGATGACGCTTCCAGTACAAAAGTAAGAAACACTTGGTTCACGTGGCGTGTTAGCATGTGAGTGTTGTTGTAGGCTATATACTTGGACATCAGAAAGTCCTTCCAGTTGGCTGCAGTGCTTCAGGCCAAGAACTCTGTACTGACTGTCTCATGTGAACTTGGTAATGAGAAATTATATTGCAGTCCTCCAGAAACTGGGGGCTACAGGATGAGACCCTTTAATCGGTGATCACAACTCTTTGTTTACTGCCAACTGGCAAATTTATTCATGTGAATTAGATTAAATGGTATTATAAAACGATACAAAACAAGCCATGCATAGAATGAGACTGAACGTTATTAGCTTGCTGTGTTTTGGAGGCTGGTGGTGGGTTGGATGATTTTTTTTGTTGTTTTTAAGATGCTGGAGGGGAGGTGATGGGGGATATGTTACTAACTCACCCTGCTTTTGAACGTTTCAGTAAGCTGGCACCATTTATTGCCAAACGTCGCACACCGAAAATCCAAGAACAATATAGCAAGATCGGAGGAGGGTCGCCAATTAAAAAGTGGACTGCAACACAGGGAGAAGGCATGGTGAAACTGCTGGATGAAATGTCTCCTCACACTGGTACTTATACCCTTCCGTACAGTTGTTTAGGAGATTGTTCTGTTTGTTGTAGTGGGTGTGTGTGCGGGGAGAAGACTGGGCCATGGGTGGTCATGCCTATTGGGAAGAGTAGGAGTCAGGCTTTGTGGGCGGAGCTAATCCAAGGGTCAGGGCCAGAGGCTGAAACCAGTAGCTACACCAGGAGTCAGAGCTGGAACCAGGAACTAAGCCAAGCCAGGGGTCAGAGCTGGGATCGGGAGCTAGGGTCAGGGTGAGGAAGCTGGAATTAGGAGCTAGGTGAGGTAGCAAGGACTGAGCAGGAACAAGGCAGGGAGACAAGGCAGGAATGGGTTTAGGAGCAGGGCAAGAGCAAAGTGAGGCGTGGCAGACATCAGGAGGGTCACACCTATGGGCATGAATGCATTGAGCAGCCAGAGAGTTGCTGCTGGGTTTAAAAGTCAGTCATTTGCCCTTCCTGACCAATCAGGTAGCCAGCTGCAGGCCTCTTGTGCTTGTTGGGTTGCCAGGAGACAGACTCTGCTGCAGGCCCGGATCCCTGACAGAGTGTGTGTGTGTGTGTGTGTGTGTGTTTGCTCCGTCCTGTTTAATACACAAAGATACGACTCCTGACACAAAACACTTACAAAGTTAGACATATGCAGTGGATGGAGCATTTGGTGTGTGTGTGTGTGTGTGATCATGACTCCATCTAGTGGCTTCTTTGAGTAGCTATAACTTCCTACTACAGTCTCACAGCTATGATTATCTACACTCTGGATCCTTTAAACTGTTCCTGAATCTAATTGTCAGTCGTAGCTAAAAGGCTTAACACAAACTTGGCTTGATCTTATTACAGTCATTAGAGGAAGGGGGTGGCACAGAAAGATGCTGTTTCACAGTTTAATTCTGCAGTACTAAGCAAGATTACTGCTGTCAGCACCACCCCAGGACATGAGGGATCCTCCCTTGAAGCTAGAGCGATAGATAAGGCCTAACGGTTTGGTTTGGACGGCATCCACAAGATACAAAGACTGTATGTTCTCCTTCAGCTAGGGTAATGTTTGAAAATGGGAGAAGATTGTTATTCCATGTAAATGTCTGTCTTCCCCCAAATCCTAGGGCCTCTGTCAGCTTAGCCACTCAGCTTTATCAGGAGAAATCCTTATCAAGGAGGGGTGACTCTTGTTGCGATTAACTCCCACACAAACTAACGTAGGTTTTACCAATAGTGGTTTTTCAACCTGTCCAAACCTTCACTGTTGAGCACTCTTAAATCCTCACTGACTTAAGCTAAATTGATACAAGTCATGTTTAAACCATTTTAAGAGTGTTCATGCAGGAGTCTGCACCAGTGTCCCAGGGTGCTCCACTCACCACTAGTTGGGCTCATCCTCCTGGCTGCTCTGGGGATTGGCTCATGAGATCAACATCCTTACCCGCGGTTGCACGCCATCACTCTGTCTCTCTCTGGTCTGCAGACCCTCTCTCGCTTCTGTAACAGCATCCTCCTCCTCGTGACTTGGCCCTCCAGCTGGGTCACTCTGCGTTTCCCCCCCTTCTGGGAGGTACAGTCTTTCAAACCCTCTGTCACTCCCACAGTGACCCGGGCAGTCTTCCAGTTCACAGCCCCATCAGTGCCTAAACTGTCCCCTCCGCCACAGGCATAACACTGCCCTGCTTGGGCTTCTGGCCTCCCTACCCTGTGGCCTCTCTTCTTGCCCTAGCCTTTCTGGCCCTTGCTCACCTCTTGGAGAATCTTGAGCAAGTAGTACTGTTCTTCAGCTAATTGCCTCATATAGTGCCTCTCACTCTTGCTGCTGGTTCTCTAGAATCTGCCTCATCAGGGCCTGTATCCCCCTTTGTTGCTTGTCAGCCCCCTTCACTGGGAGCAGCAGCTCTGTGGTCCAGCCTGGGAAGGTACACCTGCCTTCTGCAAAGACAGCCTCCATACATGGTGGCTCCATTGTCTCTTTGCCTCAGGTGTCTCTCATCTAGCCTTTCTTGCTCCCCTTGTATCATAGGCAGCTGTCTAAACAGCTTCTCAGTGTCTGCCACTCCCCTTGTATCAGGGGCGACCATCATTGCTCACATTCTCCACCAGTTGAGTCACAGAATCCACTCACTACAAGCGGCACCTCCTGCTGGCTATCTTAGGAATTAGCATGGTCAGTCATGTGCTCTTCCTCCAGTGGTGTCTTGCTCTACTCACTCCTGGATCATCAGCTCTCTCTTCATGCCTTGGCTCTCCAGCCAGGTAACTAAAGTCCTTCTCTTCCAGGTATATCACAGTCTTTCCAGACCTGGTGTCTCGAATGCCTTTTGCCACACCCCAGTGGCTAGTAAGGGAACCCAGGCCCACCCACCACACTGGGTTCCAGCCAGGGGCCCTATAACAAGCAGCCGCAGTCCTTATGCAGTCCTACCTCTTGCTGCTGTTTCTCTGAGCTTCTTCCTACATATCAGGGCCCCCCCCCCCCATTTGCCAACCTCTAACTCCCTCCATGCAGGGAGTGACTGAAGCCTTTCATAGCCTCTGTAGCAAGCCATCTGGCTTTATATAGGCCTTGCCTGTTCCTGCACAGGTGAGTGTGTCCTTAATTAGCCACCTCCAGCTTAAATCTCCCCTGCTTGCAGCCTATTTAGCTGATTGGGCCCAACTGGCATAATTCAGCTCTTGCAGGGCTAGTGTGGGGAGTCTACTCCATCACAACCAGTTTAACTGAATCGGTTTAAAATCGGATTTGAGTTAAACTGGTGCAAGTTTGTGTGTAGATTAAGCCTAGACTTCTACATGTTCATCTCATGCTGGTCACAGTGAGCAGCTGTTGGAAATTTGAAACATTTGTACCTCTCCTGGATTTTTGTGAGGATAATAGAACTATGGCACATACGGTGCTGTAAGCCAAGAATCTTTTCTACCTGAACTTTATGCTATGATTGGAATATGCTTGTCTGGCAGCATGGGGAAACCAGTTTCTCTCTGTGTCCATAGAATAGGTTCAGCAGTGCCAGGCTTTTCCTGTGTCCCTCATCTCTTGAGGGAATGCCCTGAAAAGGCACAGTAGTTCTGCCCCTGTGCCCATTGTCACTGGGGATTAAGTACAGTATGCTTGGCCACAGTTGTCTTCGGATTGGTTCCTTTTTAGTTCCTTGTCATCTCTAGTCATACCCATGTGGTAGTTGCCAAAAAGCAATGATCATCTGATGGCTGCTCTATTTGAAATGAGCCACAGGGCTCACCTTAGTTCTAAGTAAGCCAGTCTCTGCAGCATGTTTTGCTCCCTTTGGACAGTCGGCAGACAGGCTAAAGACTAACTTGGTGGGGAAGAGTGGGGAAGCTTGCTCTGGCTTCCACAGAGTACCTTTGGTGTGGATTAATGCCAGAAGTCCTTTCCCAGTCCTGTTAACCTGATATTACAAAGTTACCGGGAAAACTGCAAAAGTAAGTCTGTGTTTTTGGCCCACGAGGAGAGCTTCTGTTCAGCCCCGTAACTTAACTGTGCTTTGAGTCCACAAACGCTCGTTTTCTCCCCATTTCCTTGGCATTGGAATCAGCTGCTGAATCAGTTGGCATGTCATGGAACCCACATCGATGTCTGGAAAGATTACATATGCTTTTGACTCCAAGTTATTCATAATTCTTTGTATTTTAGGACCCATTTAAAACTTGGGTAGGTGAGGCTTAGATATGAAAGTTGTAAAGAATTTGGAACTGGGAAGCAAAAAGTTGCAATCTTAAAAGGTAATCATGCTGAAGCCAAAATGGTCTTTACTTTGTTACACGCACCCCTGACTCATGAGTTTGTTTTGTGTGGATTGTATTCAACCCTTTCTTTCAGACACTGTAGTGTGACTCCATTGAAACGAAAATCCTTGCAAGTGTAGCCAAAGAATAAACTTCATCCAGAGCTTGGGCTCAGAAATTACACCCTGCTATAGCAGCAAATGCAGTAGTTTATTTTTTGTATAAAAGTAGTTTCTAAATAGGTCAGGTTTGCAATAGATCCTGAAGCTGATGGTTTTAGGGAGTTTTATCTATTCTTCTCAGGGTGTATCACTCCCTCTTACTTTACAATGTGGTCACCAAAAGAAAGCCACCCTGTCTTTATCTGTTTGTGCAGCCTTTACATCTGACTTGGTATCCATTATTTAGAGATGTACTTTACTGCCTAGACAGTAGCTGCAATTTTAGAAGTAGGGCGGGCTAACAATTTGTTGTTAAAGGTGACCTTGGAGGATTTAGTGAGGCCAAATACATCACTGCATTGCCTCAAAATAGCTTGAAAAGCCAAAAGTGCACCTTCAGCAAGAGCTGTAACGTTTCTGGAGTGCTTTTCAGAGTTCTGAAATTTCATTATGTTTGGTCTGCACTTAAAAAGTTTTACTAACATAACTATGTTGCTGAGAGGTGTGATATTTACTGATATAGTTATGCTGGTAAAAGCCCAAGTGTAGATACAGCTATACTAGTATAGTGCACTTTATACTAGTATGTCTTATTTTACGTTGCCAAACAAGGATAAGATATGCCAAAATAAGCACTTTTATACTGGTACAACTGTGTCTCTGCTGGCATGGGGAGGAGGGGTAGGGAGTGATGACACTTTAAATATTCCAGCATAGTTAAAGTGGCAAAATTTTTAAGTGTAGACAAAACTTTACCCTAATCTGAGTCTTCCTGATGATGTGAATGTAAGTTATGGTAAAAGAAAGCAGTTTTTTAAAGCAGTACACATATTTTGGGGTGTTTTAACAACCTAAACTTTCAAATGTAAGTAGCAATTTTGTGTGCCAAAATTGAAACACCTTAAAATCCTTTGGATGCTACCTTACAGGGGCCTGATTTTCAGAGGTTGGATGCTCTGCCCTTTTAAGGCATTTCAGGTTTGGGACACAGAAAAATCAGGGCAACCCCAAACCACCAGACACTTGGAAAATTTAGGGCTTTACCATTCTGGATGCCTGTTGCTTCCTTAACACGTGACCATCAAACACATAAGCACAGGAGTAATTTTACATATACAGGTAATCCCTGTGAATATAATGAGACGACTAATGTGTGTAAAGATACTTATACACATGTTTGCAAGACCAGGACCTTGTTTGGTCAGAATAATGCTGGCTTTCTTATCAGAGCTGAAATATCTTTGTTTAACATATATGAATTGTTAGTACAGACGATTACTGGTCTGTATATCTAATAAGAAATTTATATTCCTTTATCTCCTGTTTGTCTGTGCTGTTTTTCCCAGTTCAGCAATAATTTTTCCCAAATCTTTTTGTTTCTGTTCCATTAAAACTTTTTCTGTTTGAAGGCATAGCTAAGTCTGTCTTAACAGAGGTTGTTTGAGTCCTTCCCTTAGGGTACGTCTACACTTACCGGAGGGTCCGGCGGCAGGCAATCGATGTTCTGGGATTGATTTATCGCGTCTGGTTTAGACGCGATAAATCGATCCCGGATTGATCCCGGAAGTGCTCGCCGTCGAGAGGAGTATGCGGCATCGACGGGGGAGCCTTCCTGCCGCGTCTGGACCCGCGGTAAGTTCGGACTAAGGTACTTCGAATTCAGATACGTTATTAACGTAGCTGAATTTGCGTACCTTAGTCCGAAGTGGGGGGGTAGTGTGGACCAGGCCTTAGAGGTGGGTTTGGCAGCATCCTTTGCATCGTTATTTTGAGTACAGTCCTTTTGGGTTTGATTTCCAGACGGGTAGCACAGAGTTATGATCTGATAGTTCAAAGGACAACATTTTGCATTTTTCTATTCTCCAGCTTTCATCTTTAAGGTATCAGCATATAGTCTGTTCTAGGAGGAGAAATGTGGATTATAGAAAAGCACATGTAGTGTCTGCCTTAGGGGTTCTGGGTCACCAGCGATCTAGTTCTGAAGTTATAATTAATAGTTTTTTGGAGGAAGCAGCTGTATTGGGATAGATCCCTGGTCTTAAAATTTATCCAGATTTTGATGAGCAGCCTTGGTTGACCCCAGTGCTCCTCAGATCTCAGCTAGGAGCAGCAGTAGCAGACCTCACTAACTCTCTTTAAATGCATAAAGCAAGGACTTGACTAACCATGGGGAAGACAGTATTGCTTTAACGGAGGGAAAAGCACAGTGGGATCATGGGAACTGCTTATATTATTTTGACTGTACTATGTTTTATCTTTTGATCGTAGGCAGTGGGGGAGAGGATGTGCACATGTGTGTGTATATTCTTATTTACAATTTGTATTGTGGTAGCCCCTAGGAGTCTCAGGATCCTAGTGTGGTAGGCACTGTACATACACAGACTAAAAGGATGGTCCCAGCCCCAAAGAGTTTTCAATCTAAGTAAATAACACATGCCCTGATCCTTTAAGCTTTTTGTTCTTCCCACAGCAAGCAGGGAACCTTAAGAAAATCACAACTTGTAAGACATGTAAAGAATTGCCAGCTTTTTTATTTTTAATTAGAAATGTGCATTTTTACAATATACTTCAATACCAGGAGGTCTGTTAATAGTGAATCCTACACCAGAGCACTGGAAATGATTGCCAGAAGCTGGACTGGATGACTGGGGATGGATCACTTGATAAATTGCCCTGTTCTGTTCATTCCCTCTGAAGTACCTGGCACTGGCCACTGCTGGAAGACAGGATACTGGACTAGATGGACCATTGGTCTGACCCAATATCCCGTTCTTATGAAACTGATTCCTCTGCTGATGTGCTTGTGTGATCTGCATTTAGCTGTTTAGTATGTTTAGCCAGACATGCTCACATTCCTTAACCCAATCATTTGGAATACAAGAATTCTATTCCCACTGAGCTAACTGCTCTTAGGAAGTGAGCTGTGTTACGATTCTTGTATTTTAAAGTGACATGGTTCCCATCTGGCATGAGCCAGGTTGATCATTTCCTTTTAACTTAGTTGAACATGCCTTCTTGATACTGCACTATTGTCAAAAATGTAACATGCCATTGTACTCTGTCTCGTGCTGGCCTGTAGAATACATCTAAATGATCTCCATGTTTGGAGGGGAGGGAGAATTTTACAGATTAATGCTGCTACTGTCAGTGCTAGGATCTTCAGCAACTAAAATATATACATTTCCAAAAATCTGATTCACAACTCATGGTAAGCCTCTAGCATATAAAGTATACAATTATTATTTCTCCACAGCCTAACTTATCACAAACTGGGAAGAGATTTTCAGCATCTTGTAAACATCATGATTGTCATTTTGGCTGTTGTTAAGTCAGGGAGAGTGTATTCCTGAGGAGGCTGGGCTGCAGCTGGTCAGAAGGAGATTTTAAAATCCAAGCGTTTGCAGATAAAGTGATCAGCTGCTATTTCTTTTTCTCTTTCTGCTGGCAGCGCCTCACAAATACTATATTGGATTTCGGTATGTCCATCCTTTGACAGAAGAAGCAATTGAAGAGATGGAGAAAGATGGCGTTGAAAGGGCTATTGCATTCACACAGTATCCGCAGTACAGCTGTTCTACCACGGGTGAGTGTGTCTGTGAAAGTGCAGTAAAAGGGGAAGATAAACCGCATATAGACAAATGTATCCGAACAGCTGAGAGTCCAAGCACAAGAGGCTTATGAAAGCATGAGGGAACTTTTGGGATGTGAATGAAAACCCAGCCTGCCTTCCTCGAAACCAGCTTCCTGGTTGGCCTGCTTTAAGTTTCCCGATTATAAGTAGAAGCCTGTTCTCTAACAATAAGGAATTTTAAATTTATAGGCCTTGTTAGACCTCCATGCCTCACAACATCCCTATGAGGGGGTTATACCAATTTTACAGATAAGTAAACTGAAGCACAGCTCCATAAAAGGGCACTTTCCTGAAGTTACATAAGTGAGTTGCATAGCCAGAATTGGAACCCAGGAGTCCTGACTTAGTCACCTGCTCTAACCATTAGAGCCACTATCAGTGCCAACAAAATCAGAAACCTACATAACCGGAGTACGTGCATGTTCTAGAGGTATATATTTCCACCCCCTCCCCTAGCCCTAGGACAGGTGATAATGCTTAGTGTACATTTCAGTTTAAAGCAGGGACCCATACAATATAACATGCTTTTGGGTTTTCTGTAGCACACGGTGATGCTTAGTATAATGCTCCCTTAATAGCTCCTGAAAATAACTTTGCTTTAGTTGAGGATTTAGTTGGCAGGTAGAAAAGATCTATTAGTTATATAGACTTCATGAGGTAAATATTTTTTTCTACTTTTATGCTCTCAGTTCTGATTTGCAGTGTAATGTATTTGATACCTAGTCCTTAAAATATTGAAATGGCTGGTTGTAAAACTCTCTTTTTGTCTGGCAGCATCCATACTTCTGATGAACGTATAGCTAAAGCTCCTGCTAATCTCCTAATTTTGTGCATTTCAGGAAGCAGCCTAAATGCCGTTTATCGCTACTATAATAAAAAGGGGGAGAAGCCAAAGATGAAATGGAGCATTATTGACAGGTGGCCCACACATCCCCTTCTCATTCAGGTATGGAGTTTGTATGCAAACCATTGTGGCAGTCAGGAAAACTCTTTTTGCTTGTCAATTGAGCAGATTCGACATGGAGTTATTGAGGGTACGTCTCCACAGCAAGAGAAGACCCACAGCAGTAAGTCTCAGAGACCAGGTCAGCTGACTTGAGCTCCTGCAGCAGGGCTGAAAATAGCTGTGGAGACATTCAGGCTGGGGCTGGAGCCCAGGCTCTGAAACCTGGCAAGGTAGTCTCAGAGGCCGGGCTCCAGCCCAAGCCTGAACATCTACACTGCTATTTTTAGCTTTGCAGCACAAGCCCCGGGAGCCCAAGTTAGCTGACCCAGGCTCTGAGACTCGCTGCCATGGGGTTATTTTTTTTTTTGCTATGTGGACGTACCCCATGAGACTACTTGTCTTAAAGGGACACAAACTTGTTCCCTGATTTAGATTGTTTCAAAATTTTAAAAACCTCAGAACAAAAGGAATATTTCAATGTTATGTTGTATTTCATAATATAAAATATATATCCTATGTGCTAGGTCTGAAATTACTGGGGGCAGTGTTAGTTCGGGATTAATGTGTGGAAGCTTGCATTGCTTCCATAGACCTCCATGTAATCAGTGCTAGTAATGTCACCCTGAGATCCACAGCCTAAGGGGCTCGATTATCCTCCCATTGACGTTCACGGTAGACTTCTCATTGACTTCAGTGGGAACAGAATTAGGACTCCCTTCGAAAAGAAGTGAGGAGTGGGGGGGCGGTAATGTGCTTGACTGAGGGAGGAGCCTTTTTTTTTTCCTTTAAAGAGGTGGAGTGCATTTGCTGGGCTTTTAATATTAGCACTAATGTGGTTTTGTATTATTCTAAAGCCCTTGTCTGGCATCAGAGAGGTGGGTAATGCTGGCCACAGCAGTAGCTGCAGCAGAAACACTTAACAGCAGCCACATTCTGCTCCTTCCTTTCCAGGGAAGATGTTAGTGGCTGCTTTTGCTGTGGAGAGAGAGAGAGAGATGCCAGGGGAGCGTGAAAAGCAGAGTTGGGAGCTTTTCTTCTTCTTCTGCCTTTGACTTTTGCATTTTCACGCTGGTCTCTGACTGACTAGAGTGCAAGTGACTGAGGGGAGACCAAGAGAGAACAGTAGTTCTTGGCACTTGCGCATGCCGTTCACTTCTTTCACTGAGATGTCTCAGCAGAGTTCAGGAATCTGCTGCATGATCAAATAATCTACCAAATGCTGCTCTCCATTAGATGGATTGCACACAAATACAGCTGCGTTTTGTAAGCTAATCAACATGCATTTCTCCATGCCCAAGGGAGCCTGTAAGTGAAGGGCTGGCTCAGCCTCTGATTGTATCATTGCAACAGAAATTAAAGTTTAATTTTTTGTAATGTTTTTGTCCTATCTGTGGTGGTGGTGTTGCAATGTGTCTGGTAGGGAGCTGCAGACAGTCACCGCAAACTTTTTTTTTCCCTTCTGGCAGCACCGTGTGCAAGTTGTTAAGTCAGCTTCTTTTCCTTTCTGTATGTTTCCTTGCCACCTGGACATGTATATCTTGGGCTAGGTTCTGATCTCAGTCACTGCTGTGACTCTAAGGTCAGAATCATTCCCTAGTCTTCCATGTGGGGAAACAAGGCTTTGGTTTTCAGGTCTTGGTTAACTGAAACCATCTGTCTCCCCATGTTCTGTCCTATCAGTTGACCTCAGATAAGGAACTCATTCTATCAGCCCACAGATTTAAATGTTGGGTTGGGGGCAGAGCATTCTGAAAGAGGGAACCTGCTCTCCCTGTAGGTCCATCAAAGCCCAAGTTTGTTATCCTTTAGGGTATGCATTTTACACAGCGGGCTTCTGTCAGTGAGAGCAGCTTGACTGAGGGTGTGCGGACAGACATTGATTCAATTTGCTGTAATATCTTAACTTGTGTCCTGTACCTGAAGTCCAAGTAGCTGATCCAAAGCTCATTGGGAGCCTATCAATGGACTTCAACGGGTTTTGATTTAGGCACTGTAATTCATTATTTACTGAACATTTTATTGTACACACTATTGATCAAACTCCCACTGGCATGCTACTAAAAAAAGACCCTTTGCTGTCTCGTCAGAAGTTCTTATGGTGAGCTAACACAACGCAGAGCAGTGCCCAGCCAATTTGTGCACATTATTTTGAGCAGATGGGTGCATCTCCTGTTACCGATCTTTACTCTTTTGCCTCTCTCTTACAGTGCTTTGCAGACCACATACAAAAAGAACTGGATCTGTTTCCACCTGAGAAAAGGAAAGATGTTGTCATTCTTTTCTCGGCTCACTCGCTCCCAATGTCTGTAAGTAACATGAAGTCACCTCTGAAGTGGTTAAAACTCCGTCGCATGGGAGAGTCACGTTATTGGTCTGATGGGTTGCATCTCAGGCAAAGCAAAGTTTTGAGTAGCCTGCAGCTTGTAGGCCATCAGGATTAGACCAGACAAGGAACAAAACCTACTTCTTGCCCATCGCTTCCACATGAGGATAATGGGGGGGGAGAACTAATTGTTTTCTCACCTTTCAAAAAGAAATTACTCTCCCTGAAGCAATGAGAGTAGAATCTTTGCACGTTTAGAATAGACCATCTAGAGTGGGAGATTTTAACACAGTGGGCTGGCACTAAGTAACAACTTCAATACAGTGGCTTCTAATCATTTTGGAAAAAAAAAAAAACAGTGGCATTGTACCACATAAGTTGAGGCTGCAGAATCTGTCTTCATTTGTGTGAAGAGGAACAATCAGGTGATGAGGCAAAGGACAATTTCATAATGAATTCTTCTGTAAAGCTGTCTTGTTCCATAAACACACATTTAAAATGTTTTCAATACTAATGGTTCAGAGTGTCCCAGTTCAGTCAAATTGTGTGTGTCATGGTTCACCTTCTAATAATGTCCACTGGGGTCTTTTTATTATTTTTACAAGTAAAAAACTCGTGGAATATGTCACAGTCAACTGGCGTAATTCAAAACGGTGTTCTCTGTTCTGGAAGTCATTCCAGTGCCAGTCAAGGCTGAGATGCAGGGTACTGCTGTTTCAGAAGTACTGTATTAAAAGTAATCTTTGGTCCTTTCCTTTTGCTATTGCCTAGCCCTGGGAGACTCATATTCTTGGAATATGCTGCCATCTACTGGTTAATGGCAGAGGGAACAGTGGACATCAGCAGTATTATTTATTTATTTGTACGAAGGTAGTACTTAGAGCCCCCAGCAGAGATCTGGGCCCCGTTGTGCCAAGCATTGTACAAGCACATGGTGAGGGACAGTTCCTCCTCTGAAGAGCTGAGAGTCTAAATAGATAAGACAGACAAAAGGTGGGAAGGGAAAGAGAGCCATGGAGAAGTTGAGTTATCTACCCAAGGCCACACATCAGGTGAGCAGCTGAACCAGGGGCAGAACTATGACTCTTGACTTCCACATTTTAACGTGCATTTTTCTTGCTTTTGTTTTTCCCTTATGGGTCTGCAGAGTTCCTACTGGCTCTTTTCAGAGCTGTAAGGACACACATCTTGTTTTCTGCTTTAGTTGCTCCCCTTTTCCTGCATTGACTTCCCGGTTACCCATCCTTTGTTTTACGGTTTCACTTGAATGCCCATCAGCACTGCTTCTTGAATCAGCCAACAGGAGTCATGTTGAATGGCATGGAACATTCCTCTTCTTCCCCTGTCCCATTCCCCAATGTGTTGCTGCCTCCACTGCTGTCCCAGACTTTGCTGGCAAGGGGAGAAATTGACACTGAATGCACTGTGAGTGGCCTGTCCTGTAGTGCAGAGTAATACCGCTAGGGCACTGGGCACAATGAGGAGCTTTTCCCCAACATGTTTGTACTACTGTTTCACTTGAATTGAAGAGAATATAAATAGTAAACATGAGCTTTCTCCAGTCTGAGGCCAGGGATAGGACTCGGTACTCCTCGGCTTTATTTCTAGTTCTGCTACTGGCTCACTCTGTGACTTGGCCAAGTCACTTATGCTCTCTGTGCCTCAGTTTTCTCATCCATAAAATATTAAAGTATCTGTAAATTATCAAACCCACAGAGGTATTATGAGGATTAAATATTTTTAAAATGCTTTGAGATCCTCTGTTGGAAGGCAATTACATGCATGCAATAAAGGAAGCCTGTAAAATGTCAGTTTGATGCTAAAGTAATTGAAAAGAAACCATTTGTGACTCCAGCTAGTGACTGAAAACACACACATGAAATCTGTCGGGCAGGAGCAAATATTCTTTGCAATGGCTAAGATAGGCCTGTTACACGTCAGACTGAGAGTTTATAACTCTTAAATTCTGAATTACCAGTAAAATAATAGTAGTTACGTTCATTGTGGTATATGTAACGGTTAACGATTTCTGTTGCCTGCACAAACATCTGCCATTGTGCGAGGCACAGCTGCTGCAGCCTGTTGCAGGGGATACATGCACTGTGCTCATGCATGGAGACTTTGTTTGCTTGCTTCCCTTCATTTAAAATGAGTGAGTGAGACCGAACGTTTTTAGATGTTCTTTGCACATGAGAAAACATAACATTCATGAAGAATGAAAGGCCAGTGTTTCTGTGTTGCAGGTAGTGAACCGTGGCGATCCATACCCTCAAGAGGTGGGAGCTACTGTCCAAAGAGTCATGGAGAAGCTCAACTTTTCCCACCCCTATAGGCTCGTGTGGCAGTCCAAGGTATGTGGTCAGAAGGAAGTTGTTAAAAGCCACCTGCAGCCCCTTAGTCATCAAAGTTTAGGATGATCTCTTCTCTCTTCCTCTCTCTCCTACTTTCTGGAAGTATCTGAGTTCCAATGGAATGGTGCTCTTTGTGCCTGGGTGTTATCTTCTATATATATTTAACAGCCACTTTAAGTTTTTGCCACTTTACAAGAGTTCTTGATGCATCATTCCCAAGTAAACTTCTGATAGCCCAGAGATTCTCCAGTACTCCTCATATGCTCTCCCAATGGTGGGGATTTTTCTCTGACTAGCAGCTGGAAATGGGAAGCAAATGAACTATGATAAAGTCTGCTGAAATATTGCTTAGAGACCTTCCAAAAGATCGCTTATATGATTACGTCCATTGTTAAGGACATGAGCCCAATCCAAATAGACTTCATTTTTTTTAAAGCAGGTAACGCAGAATGGGTTGATTTATATCTCTCTTTGCACGTGACGTTTGTAAACTCCAACTGAAATGAAGGAACTTTAAGAAATGTTAGCCTCATCAGAATTGCATGTCAGTAATTTACATTTCTCAAATGTGTTACAGTTACGGGGGCAGAGTTGTTTTGTTCTAAAGCTAAGAAGCAGCAAGTAAAGTATCGTGTTAGCTCTGCATCTGTACTTTTTGGATGTTAAAGAACACCATCGGCTTATTTAGTCTTAAAAATGGAAAAATTCTTTAAAGGCAGGTAAATCCTGCTCAATAGCCGTGGCGGGGGAGGGTTGGAATGAAAAACAAAGGACGCTTATTTTATTTGTAGTAATTTTTTTAAGTGCCCCTCTAAAAGCCAATCATCCACTCAAAATATGTGTTGTTTAATATAAGTAAATTCAGTCTCCTAGGATTCTGCTTGTTGTCAGGATGGATTGTCTGGGGGTCTAAACAGAGAGGCAGTGTCTCTTCATCAAAAAGTAATAGATGGAGAGGTGGACAAAGATACTGCTAAACATAATAAGATAAACACAAATTTGATTCTTCATTGAATAAATAAGTATGTGTAGGTTAATTAAATGACGACAGAATATAATTCTTGTAGAATTAATTTATCAAAGCTTGAAGAAAGATTTTTTTTTTTTTTTTTTCCCCCCTCCCACTTTCTCCTAGGTTGGCCCAATGCCGTGGCTGGGTCCTCAGACAGATGAAACTATTGAAGGACTCTGTAAAAGGGGAAAGAAGAACATTTTGTTGGTTCCAATAGCATTTACCAGTGACCACATTGAAACTCTCTATGAGCTGGATATTGAATATGCACAAGTTTTAGCAAATGAGGTAAACATCACTTCAGGTCTCATAATTGCTTGGGCAATTCTGCTCCCAAATTTCTTTCCCCCCGTTTTTAGCGCCGATCTTATGGTTAAATGTTGGTATGGGATTTGGGTCACCTTCTGCTGTTACACTGGTGTAAATCTGGAGTTAATCTGAATTGGCTTCAGAGATGTTACTTTGAATTTTTATCAGTGTAGCTGAGAGCTGATTTTGACCCATTTTATTTTAACTAAGATAAATGGTTTGTATGATCAATAAATAAGGGGTTTGGGGAACCTGGTATCAAAGTAAAATTTTGTCTGCTCATCATTTTAGCCGTGCTGAAAAAATATTATTACAGTTAATTCAGTCATTTTAGGGCAACCTCTAAATGATATAGAAAATGTTCTTCAAAAAAGCTACTGGGGTATTGTTTTTTTCCATAACAGCTCTTTATTTTTCTCTCCTCTCTTGTTTTTGATTCAGTGTGGAGTTGAAAACATCAGAAGAGCAGAGTCTCTTAATGGAAATCCATTGTTCTCCAAGGTATCCATATTGTTACCATAGCTTTAGTAGAAAATACAGCTTAGCAGTCCTCTGGAAAGCTCTAGCAGATTGTTGGTTTCCTCTCATATTATTAAAACATTCTGAGTTTGACTATTAAAATAGAATTCCCCAGACTTTGTAGTTCATAGACCACAAGCTATTTTCCTTTGTCACTGTGTTATTTTTTAATTGATACTTATTTTGAATGTTGTTTTGACAATGAAAAGCAATTTTTCTCTCATCATTTTCAGTCACCTATTTATTGAGATTGCCAGAAAAGCAGAAATGTTCCTTTTTAGGGTCAATATTATGCCAATGAATTTTTAAAATCAAGGTCCCCATTGAAATCAAGGGGAAGTTTATATTAAAAAATTGGTGTCACAACACATCCCTTGGTCTGACCGATTGTTGGTCTGGCTAACTCGTTAGTTTGGTAATGTGCATGGTTTTTTGCAAGTGGTTCACTCACTTCTGCTTTTTAATACTCTGTCTTTCAGGCACTGGCAGACTTGGTCTATTCACATATCCAGTCGAATGAAATCTGCTCCAAGCAGTTAACCCTCCGCTGTCCGCTTTGTGTAAATCCTGTCTGCAGGGAGGCAAAATCCTTCTTCACTAATCAACAGCTGTGATGTGCAGCGTAGAAGAACACACTTGATTTGTGCAGGGAAATCACTTAATGGTGCAACAATGCAGACATCAGAAATTGCACACAGATAGCCAAACTCTAGCATTCTGGTACACTCTTCTAACCCCAGTGGCTTCTGTGGGGTTGCAGTTTTGTAACAGAGACGTGAATTTGAAGTTTTTCTTTTTTTATTGGAGAGATGTGGGTAGAAGGGAAGGAAGGAAGGGCTTGATGCAGTGAGGTGCTGAGAGGTCTCAATTCCCCTGGGTCTAATGAGCACTTCATAGCATCAGGCCCAAAAGTAAGCACTGAAAAAACTTTGATACAAACTGGCATCTAAAGCTCTTTGCAGGGAGTTCTTTATATGCACTAATGTCATGAATATATTCATTTCAGCCTTCCAGGTAGAGTGTACTATTATTATTATTTTTTGCTACTGGTGCAGTATTGCTAACACAGTTACCAGTCATCTTCTCTTACAGATATATTTTCAGATGTGTTTTGAATTCTGATTTTTTAAAAAAATAATATGTATATTTTTTAAAACATAGAAGTTTATTTTGGTTTTCCTGGGAGAAAAGAGATTCTGCAAAAGCCCAGACAAGCTTTGCCCCATTGGAACAGTGGCATTGTAGGAGATTTGTTTACATTTTCTTGAAACTTTCTCATTGTCTGAAGGAAAATCTCTGTCTGTGGAGAGCATGAAGTGAAAGAAATGACCCAGGACTGAGTTATATTTTTGGAGCACACTCCACTTAAATGGAGTTCTAGCTATATTTCAAACCTCGTTACTGTCAACAGCAAACACTGTAGCTGGTTGTAAGGGGGGGTTGGCTTATCCTTCAACCCAATGCTTTTCTCTTCTCCAAAGGGCTTTCTCTGTTTGATTAAGCAAATTCAGAAAGTTGAACTGGCTCTTCTGAGGATTTATAGATCTGCTCTGTGCTTTCCACTGCGTCAGGACATTGTGGTTTTTGTGGGATATCTATGGAGCTACATGGGCACAATCGATCCAGTTTAATTCATGTTGTCAATTAAAACCCCAGTGATATATTAGGAGTAATTTACATTGTGGTGGGTGTGCCAGATGAGGGGTGCAGGATGCCTCTTATCCTAACAGCTGCGGTGGGTATAAATTCCCTAACCCAGAAACCGAGTTCTGCCCTATTACATTCCCTGGGCTATTTTTCGTGCCTGATCCTGACCCATCTAAATCTCCACTGATTTCAGTGGGGCATTTGGATACACCAGGAATGCAGTCTAGTCCTAACTATTTACATTATGGAGGTTTTATAAAATAAAGCAGTGGGCATTCAGCACAGTCCCAGCTGCTGGCCCCACTACCCAGCATTGCTCGGTTTTGGCTTGAAATACATTCAGAATGGAATTATCATAGAGTCTGGATTAGCAGCCCCTTCATATAGGGGACATTCCCTCGAGGGCTAGAAGAATCCATTAAAAGTATTCTGTGGGAGAGCTCATTTATAGGCACTGGTCTAGCTGTCAGCTTCATGAATACAAATGTTTATCCTATATAATTAGCACCGAATACTGGAGGCTGTTTGCAAGTCGTTCTAACACGCAGATATTGCTTAAATTGATGAATCAACTAATCATAAGATGTGGAAGTGCAGGGGCTGTGATTATTAGACAATTTTACTTGCTCAGGTAATTGTGAGATGCACATAGTTTGTGCTCCTGATCCTCCAGGGATAGGGTTGTTTAAGGATAACATAGGCCCCTGTTGCCATAAAACTTGTTTTGCTCCATTTTATGTTGAAAGAGTTGACGTTTAGGATGCTGGAGACATAAATTAACATAATTGTTTATCAGCCAGTGGGCTAGATACACTGGTATGGGGAGATGGAAATTACACTTCCTGCCTCAGCCAGACACACACACACTGTGCCTAATACTCTCCCTGAGGGAGGAACAAGGTTTTTCCACTGCCACCCCTATTTCAGCTTCCCAGTGTGTGTGTAAAGGGAAAGGCTACATTTAAACTACTCCGGGGGCTTCATAGGAGGTTGCTGCTGAATCAGTACATCATATACTGGGCCTGCACCCTCCACTTTTTTGAACAGGTTCTTACAGTCCCCCAGCTCTTCAACCGAAAGGAGGCTGCTTCTGCTGCTGTGCCAAGGGCAGGCAAACTTTTTGGCCTGAGGGCCACATCAGGTTTCATAAATTGTATGGAGGGCCGGTTAGGGGAGGGGGTCGTGGCCCGATCCCCCGGGACTTCTGCCCCATCCAACCCCTCCTGTTCCCTGACGGCCCCTCTGGGACCCCTGCCCCATCCACACACAACCCCGCTCCCTGTCTCCTGACTGCCCCCGGACACCCACTGCCCCATCCAACCCTTCCTCTCATTCCTGATGGCCCCTTTGGGACCCCTGCCCAATCCAACCACCCCTGCTCCCTGTCTGCCGCCGGAACCCCTGCCCCTGACTGCCCCCTGCCACCCCATCCAACCCCCCCTCCTTCCTGACTGCCACCCTGGGACCCCGCTCCATTCAACCCCCTGTTTCCCCCCCGACCACCATCCACACCCCTGACCACTACCCTGAACTCCTCTGCCCTCTATCCAACCTCCCTGCCCCCGTACCGCACTGCCTGGAGCATCGGTGGCTGGCGGCGCTACAGCCGTTCCGCTCGGCTGGAGCTGGGCCACGCTGCTGCCGCTGCCACCCCACAGCACAGAGCACCGGGTCAGGCTGGGCTCTGCAGTTGTGCTGCCCCAGGAGCTCACAGCCCCGCCGCCCAGAGCATTGTGCCAGCGGCAGAGCGTATGAGCTGAGGCTGCGGGAGAGGGGGGGCAGCGGGGGAGGGGGCGGGGGCTAGCCTTCCGGGCCAGGAACTTGGAGGCCGGGCAGGACGGTCCCGCAGGCCAGATGTGGCCTGTGGGCCATAGTTTGCCCACCCCTGTGCTGCGCCCTATTTTCATGCTGGACTCCCTGCCGCTGAGATGTTGTGCTGGGATTTATGCCCGTGGAAGCCAGATGAATTGAGAGTACTCTCTGTCTAGCGTTCTGATTTTCAACACTTACGCTGCATCTTGCTCCACGATCCACACCGTCTGGCCCATGGGTTTGTATAGTCTGTACACTGCGACAAATTTCATATGACATTTTTCCTTCTCTATGTACATTATTACAATGGCCTTTTCCCTGCTTAGTAGGGTCTGTGTTGGAGAGACTGAAAGAGTGATGGCCAGGCACTGTGTAGCTAAATTTGTCTTTCTCCAGGAGCTCCAATTGCCTTTAAATTCCTTTAGTCCCAGTCAGAGTCTATTCTCTTGCCTAATGAGGGGCCAAAGGGAGCATTGGTATGCTCATGACTCCTCTTGGCACTAATGGGAGTTAGTCACATACGTTTCCATCCTCTCCTTTTATCCCCTTCCCTGCATCCAACCACCACACGGATGGGAGAATAGGCCACCAAGAGCCAACTGCTTCCCTCAGATGGAATCAGTGAGAGTTCTCCACCTGCGTTGCTGGGCGAAATTGAGCCCTAAGATGGGAAAGCCTCTGACCAGGATTTGAAGAATCAGAACACCAGAATAATAATTCTTGCAGCATACCTTGGAGTACATTTTTAACCTTACACCTCCCATTATACAGAAAACTGCTTGTCTCCAATCCCACTTCTCTGCTTTGACTGTTATGGGGTAACAGAATATAGTTTACACCTCTACCCCGATATAACGCTGTCCTCGGGAGCCAAAAAATCTTACTGTGTTATAGGTGAAACTGCGTTATATTGAACTTGCTTTGATCCGCCGGAGCGCGCAGCCCCGCCTCCCCGGAGTGCTGTTTTACTGCGTTATATCCGAATTCGTGTTATATCGGGGTAGAGGTGTATTTATAAAATTTTCCTGCAAATGCCTCTTAAAAGCCTTGAATATATAGGTCTTCTGATATGCACTGTTACCAGCACAATTAGGAATCTACCCAAAGTTGGAAACGGAAGGCTAACTTTATGTGAACATTGTAATATTATACAAATTGATTGGCTTTTTGTTTTCGTACTGAAGAATGTAGAGGGAATATTAGTTGGCATTAATTATGAGGCATTACATTTATCCCCAGTAATAGAAGATATTCAGTTTTTATGTATGCTAACCACAAGTGGGATAATTAACAAACCTGTTCAGGCTATTGTTGCTATTAGCCCATAGTGTGGAAATCATTTAATTTTCTAGCTTTTAGCAGACTGATCCTTTCTCAGTGAGTTGGTGGTTTTTTTTCTTTTTTTTAGAGTATAATATCACTCTCTCTTACTATTTCACACATTGTTTTGTCTGACAGATTTCATCACAGCATAAAAATTATAATAAAATACGATTACAGTTAACCAGCACTATTAATGATTGTGTTTTTAGAAACTACATTTTTTTTCTTGCATGTTAAAATAATAATTGTGAAAGCAGAGACAGCAATGCTAATGCGAATTCCATTGCAGCCAAAGTCATTGTACTCTAGAAGTACATACTTGGAAGTATATGAGTACAATAACCAAGCGTTTTCTGGGAACTTTCTATTTCTGTGCCTCGTCATTGTTTAGCATTCTAATAGTCAACATCTTTTTGTAACTGTTGTAGTTGGAAGGTTAAAATCTTCTCTTACCTGTTGGTACATTTGTATGCATTCAGATGCAGCTGAGACAAGTTTTAAGGGTTTGTGGCTACTAACTCCAGTCTTACCAGATTCTGAGCTTCTCTGCTCTGGATGAATTGGATGGGAGGCTCAGGTCCTTGGACAATAATCTAGCTTCATGGTGGTTATAAATGGTACTCCATTTACAGAACCACAGTTTGTTTTCAAGGCACTGCTCAAAAGACCTATGGAGGAGAGGGCGGATGTAAATATTTGCAGGTGGGATGCCTGGGTTTGGCTGTGTAACCGCTATTTCATTAATAAGAGCTCAGCAACTAAATCCCAACATGTCACTTCAAAAACCAGAGGGAGACGGGAAATAGAAGCAATGGTGTCCTGAGGGAAGAAACAGGAATTATAAACATTTGCAAACAATATGTTTTGGAAGAATTGGCTTGTGACTAGGTTGTCGTCATGGTAGTTTTGCTGTCCATCTGGATGCTGAAATTGTATTCAACCACAAGTAAGAAAAACAATCTCCTTAATTACCTACTTAAATAAGTGATAGCTTCCGAAAGTGGTGCCCTACTTCCATAGCGGAGTGTGGGCTTTTCTGTAATACATAAGGGGAGAAACCCTGGCACCAGTAAAGTCAACGAGCATTTTGCTATTGAGTTCAGTGGGGTCAGGATTTCACCCAAGGTATTCAGAGGCTCCTTTTAACTTCCCCCTCTATCCCACTCAGAATATTGGAACTTAGCATGAACTGAAAGAGATAATAGTTCCTTTTATTTCTTAATACCTTACATGTTCCAATATTTGCTTTAAATGCAAGACATGGATATTAGATTGAACAGGAACTTCCATTTAGTATACAATGAATTATTTGTATAATGTACCAATTGCCATTAAGATGGATATTGACATTAAATTTTTTTTTAAAGAAATAATTGAGATGTCTCTCTGAATATGTGAAGGAAGATTTTTTTCCAGACCAATATCCAACATTCTCTGTGCTAACTTCTTTTTCTTTGCGTGATAAAGAGAAAGCATACGCTTTCTATGTTTAACTCATCTATTCTAGATGCCCTTGCTTTTCAGTGGAAATAATGGCGTTTTATTCCTGTGTGGTAGCCTGGTGTCCTACAGCCGCACATTCTGGGTACATCAAGGTTGGAGTTCACTAATCAGTTTAGATGTGCTTCCCCGCCCCCATGGTGAGTAGTGGATTCTCTACACATGCAAGTATCTCCACATGTTTTGGTAAATCAACAATCCCAATAGTCAAAGCTGTTAATTCTGTTCGGGTAGAAGTTTATCCTTCTGTATATCTTTCAGTAATCGATACAATCTAGGTCTGACTTTTTCAGAAGTATGAGCTCCCATAACTTTCACTTACTTCCATTGGGTTATTGGCAGCTCTTGACAATTAGACCTTAGTATCTTAACTCATCACATAACATGGTGACTAAAACAATTGAGAACAAGACTTTCATGTAAGGAGAAACACAGCCACAGAAGATCACTTGCAGCACTTTCTTCTTGTGTCATTCTCTATATAAGGGGTAAGGTCCAGTATACGTGTGGGCTGCTTATGTACAGTCTATTTTCTTATGGATAAATGTTTTCCTCTTTAAAAAGCAACAGAGAGTCCTGTGGCACCTTAAAGACTAACAGATGTATTGGAGCATAAGCTTTCGTGGGTGAATACCCACTTCGTCTGATGCATGTGCCACTGTTTTCTCGTATCTTCTGCTCTGCTTCCACCCCCAACATTTGCCATGACACCACTGAGTGTTTGATACAAAGCCAAGTTCAGATCAATATATGAAAGTAGATATAAAATTTATGCACAATCCCTTGTAGTCATGGTCCAGCTGTGAAGCAGTATTGGATCACAGAGGATTTCCCATTATGAGAAGGTATGAAATTTAGCACAAATCCAAGGACACCATTTGTAACAGTAGGCTCAAAAAGATGGTGAGAGACAGATTTGACCTAGTTTCAAATCCCACCTACAACTGCTAATTTATTTGGTTATCTATTAACAGTCTCTAGGCAGCTTACTTTTTATGTTTAAAATTAAGTGCTTGATTGATTATTTTCTAGAACAGTGATGGGATGTTGTTCTATACTTAAGCCAATCCATTAGTGAGCTCTCATTACTGATCTCTTTTCTCTCTCTCTGTGTGTGTGTGTGTGTGTGTGTGTGTGTGTGTGTGTGTGTGTGTGTGTGTGTGTGTGTGTGTGTGTGTGTGTGGAACGACATGGTTGGATGGGGGAAGGGAGGGAGAGTTCAAGAG